AGGCAAACAAGTAGCCTCTACCAGGCTTCGGGAGGCTGCTGGAGAGAGTAGAAATTGGCCAAATAGAGAGATAACATGCCAGGGGATTTGGTCCGTTGTAGAGTACAGTTTGCTGCCCTGTCATGTTATCTCTTTATTTGGCCAATTTCTACTCTTTCCAGCCGCCTCCCAAAGCCCGGTAGAGGCTAGAAAAAACTTAATTGCACGCAAATTGTAGTGGCTACAACGTACGGCAACATATAGATACGCATGTAAGAGCAATTGGTCTCCTAGCAGATCCTACACTGGCTAGGCAGTATCCATTGGCCAAGAAGTGTCCATTAGTGCTACTCCCTGTTTCGCTGTGAGCAGATCTTCAGTGGCTAATGGACACTGCTTGGCCGCTGGATACTGCCTTGACACCGAAGGATCTGTTTGGTTAAGAGCAAAATGATGACCTTGTCAGCACTATGCAATGTACACGAGGTCCAATATAAAATACAAATGTACAACAAGAAATTCAAGATTTCACACCTCCGTGAAGTATTTAGATTTTTTTTGTGAAGTTTTGTTTCATTCGTTATCGTGATTTTCTGTACATATTCCACTGTCCGTTAATGTCAACCTATGGTGAGATCGTTTCGATCTGCAATTCGACCTTCCTGTCAGCATTCCCCCGTGCCTCCCTTCTAGCTACTCCTAGATTCTGTATTCAAATAACTACGAACATACACACAAGAAAGTTAACATACAAACACACCAAATACACAGAGGTACAAAACATTAAGCTCAACTGTGTGCCATCAGCTTTTCTCTTGTGCTGTTCAGTAAGCAGTGCCTTCAACTGGTGACTTTGAAATGAAGAAAAGTTACAGATATCTGGCAAGGATGTTACAGACCATTTGCGAAATGTTTCAGAGATCACCGAACTCTTGGGTCAATGTGAAGTGTGACATTTAACTGTTACAGCCTCCGGCTACCGGGGATTTGTAACAAATGAGGTATTTCTGTTTCGCCGGAGCGGTGTCAGGAGAGACGCATGGCCCCCATGGCGGTCTGAGACCTGTGCTTCATCTCAATTTACGGCGTGTTTCCACCGTCGACCTCCGCCTGTCAGACTCTGGCGTTCGGTTACTGTGTATAGTTACAGGCAGCCTAGCAGCAGCACACAGTTTCCTTATTGGATGTATGGCAAGTAGAAACTAATAGAGTTCGATGTAATGTACCCAGCTGCCGCCGAGCCGCGTGCCAGCGAAGCTTGTGTGTTACGCCGAAGGGCGGTTATACCGGCTATACAGTACAGAACCTGGTGTGTTACGCCGCACACCGGCTTTACAGATACAGATACAGAATTTTGCAAAAAATCTGAACCTGGGACGTTAAAATTACTAAATTGTTTCTTTGTAATCTCCAAATTCGTTTTTATTCCGTTGTGGGTGACCAGAGAACTGCAAAGTCTTTCATAAAATTATATTCCAATAGCCAATATCTGTCAATACTTGTTATAGGTTTGTTCATCCGCAAATCTCATTCATATAAGTGGTACATAGATGAAGAGACTTACGTCAATAGATGTCAGTACATTAATACATATATCTTTATTGGTTTTCCAACCACCAAACATACATATGCAGGGAAAGACAAAAGTCTCCCTGAAGTGGATAGTTTGTTACAATATAATCAAAACACATAATACAATACAATCAATGAACAATAAACAGCTTAAAGATAACAAAATTGGATGCAGATACAGCATGGGATAGCTTATGAAACAGACTCATTGTACAGTTTTACCGCACAATGAACAAATGACCTTTTCAGTCGCTCAGTCCTGGCTTTTGGCACAGTGAAGGCACTGTCGTTCCGCAAGCATATACCTGTAGCTGTGGACCGTTGGGGGGGCACTAGGTCATGTAGTGGGTGCTCAGGCTTTATCATAGCTGTGAACAGCTTCAAAGCGGCCGCTTCCCTCCTTTCTTTCAAAGAAGGGAGCTTTGGAACTGTTGGAAATATTGATTATCAGACGTCAATACATTAATATTAATTATGATGACGAATGTACCTTTTTCCTACCTAAGTTGGTCTAAGATATATTGATGGCCCTCTCCCGGAAGCGTTGCTAAAAATAGAATTAGGATTAGACGCACATGATTATTTGATAAGAGGAGTAAGGGACAGTTCCTGGGCAGAGCACTTTCTGTAGTTAGACAGGATTATTCTATGCACGGCATGTTCGTGGATAAAGTAGATCACCTGCACACCTGCACACCACAGCCAACCAAACTGCAACTTGGAAAAATAAAGAGAAAGTGGCAATACGTATCTATGATTTTGCTTGAAATTCAAGGGAAAACTTTAATTGGAATTCAAGGGAAAACTTAAACCTGTATTGGTAGTCACCGGTTTAAAGTTAAAACCTTTGTTCCAACACAAAGACCAAACTGACTGGCATGGTCGTAAGTTAACGTTCTGGGTGAGAACGATCTACAATGTTGTCAAAAAAGTTTTAAATCTAAACCTGCGATGCGATCCCTGTGTGTCTTCCTGCGCTTTTCTGGGGAACTCGTGGGAACCCGTTTCAAACACCAGTTACTCGTGATTCACACCGACACTATAGGAAGTACGGTACCCACACACATTCCTGTAGTCAATACTCAATTATCTCCCCAATATGTAACAATGTAAGGACCAGACTGGGCTGTCACTGATCATCCATCTACCGTCTAACTCTCTTTATACACCTCTGACGATGATGTAAACAAAACCAGGAAGGAAAATTGAGTCACGATAAGTTCTTTACGTAGATAATAAAACCTATTGGACCTCCGTGGGCTTGCCATGTATAACGCTATTGATCTTTAGAGATCAAATTTCATTGGCGGTTCTAAGAATGGAATGTGTACATCGATAGGTACGTATGTTCTCATTGGTGTATTGTACTAAACATCGATATGCTGTAATTATACGTCATGGGAGTCATGTACAAGCTGCGTCATGGACATTAGCCTGTGACATAGTGAACGTCATCTCCACTGGTCGTACTTTCCCATTATAAGCGCGAGTAGTCCAGTGGCTTTAGCGACACTGCCTCTGGACCAAGAGGTTATGAGTTCGAATCCCGGTCGTGGTCGCTCACCCAACATTCATGCTAACTACTGTAATAGTCATAGTCACTAGGACACAGTTAAGCTATGGTCCATGCTTCGTATGGTTGTCGGAAAGACTATAGCTAGGGCAATTTCCCCGGTGAACAGTGAACCTGTAAAAATACTGCTCATAGCGTCTGTCTTGTCTGTCATGACCAGTGGACGATAAGCTCTTAAGTGACATGAAACTGGGTCGAGATCACTTTTCATTTTCCTCGCTGACCACCAAGTAGCTAGGGGGTGAAAGACTGCAATTTAGATAGTGGATTGTGCCAAATTGTAAGGCATCTTGATCTACAGTATGCATCTAGAAGGGCTTATCAAGAATAGAATGACAAGTTTATCACTGACACCACTGATCATTGATATTCCCAACACACACATCAAAGAGACATCTACAGCAATTCCATTACTATATTTAATTGGTACTTACGAATCATAGAAGCCTAGTTCTTTCATAATGGACGTTTGAGTAAGCATCCGGTCTACATGCAATTAACCTCCTACCTGGTTGGTATTCATAGAGCTCTCAATCGCTTAGTGCATGGCCGAACTGATTACTATATGGGATATACATTATACATGTAAGGTGCAATCTTCAAAGCAGATCTTGGGGTGGAAGACTGTAACCGTTACGGTTTCTGACTGTTGTTTTCGTGAATCCCATTTGTCGGAAAGAAAAACGTTACTATCTTTCCACCAAATATCTGCTTGGATATTATGTTAGGTGCACAAGAATGCTTGTCTCTTAAAGGCACCCAATGCAGTTTTAGGGCATATTCTAGTCACTTATATCTACGTACGGAGTTGAAACCATATTGTCCCAATGTATACTGACCCTCATTGAGCAAAAATACCCAAACTTTCAATGGAAAATGGTTACTGAAAGGAGGACCCTGGGCTGATTTTTTTGGTACCACCCATAAAATAAAGGACTCATCTTGAGACTTGTTACTGTAGTTTTAAATACCCAAAGTATGAAATACTTATTGAAATGTGCTAATGTGAAGCAGTATATGTCAACATCATAAAGATAGCCTTATTCAGAATATTTCCAGTTTTGCTGCTCTGAAATCGCATTGGATGTCTTTAAATCTTCATCATTCTGCAGGTCCGTACCTGTACATGTGGGTTCACCAGTCAGAGAAGGGCAGCTGCTTCTATAAACAGGAGATTTGTTGACTTTTTCGTCTTGCATCGAGTCTGGAAGATGCTCGGATGTGTGTTTTATTGGCCTGTGCATCAGGCAGGGTCGTGGGGTGGGTTTTCTCCCACGTTCTTTGGGAGAGGAATGAGGAAAATCCTTCCACAGAGACAATTAGACAACTAAATTTCCCCCAGACGTGTCCAGCTGCGCATTTCTGTCAGAGGACTCAGACGGATTGCGTAGGAGAACTCAGCTTTGATTAAGTACTGGGCAGATACTGACTACTGTAGGCTCATTTCTCATTCAGTTGTATTAAGATTAACTGCTGTATAGGAGCTTGGAAGGAACAGGATATATAAGTAACGAGTTATGAGATTTAGTATGACTTCGTTTCTTGATATTTGACAAACCACCTTAATTGGTCTCCGGGTTTAAAACAGTTCCCTTATTTGGACGTTTCTTTTATTTATTTGGACATCCATTTTCGTCACCATAATATAGTAAACCAATTACAATTAAGACTGCTCATCGTAATTGCCATGGACTGATTTCACATGTCTCAGAAGCGCCCCTATACGGCTAAAATATCCTTGCAAAGGATACACCCAGCATCTGCATAAACAGCATAGATCGCTAGAGGCCCTCATTGACACGTGAAGATGACTTCGGCTTCCCCTCGAGCAATAATATTACAGCTAACAATCTAAACTATTTCCCTTATACGGAAAGCAAGGCCGAGCCCGGGGACTATTACGCGCGGACTGCGGAGTGATTCCTGGCGCGCATGTGTACACGGCGGTACAGCGGCACATTGTGAGACCCGCCCTTGATGTTGTACAGAACTGAAGGATTGTAAGGCTTCCTTAAGGTTGACGCCGCGAACTCCAAGTCGCTGATTGACAAGCAAGTTGTCCGAAGACAGCGTCTATGAGACCACCTGCACACCTTGTAAGTCAATTTTCGCCTTAAAGTTTGATTCTGACAGTGAAAAGAATAGGACAGCCTTAACTTGACACGTTGTCTGACTATGCCAGACATGTGCATATGTTTCGCATGTATCATCACAAAAATCTTGAACAAGGTCACTGCCATACTTAAGGGCTGACAAGAGACATGCGGGGAAGATACGTTGACCGTTTCAGGGTGCGATTTTATGGAGTTTAGAGTTCGGTTTGCCGGTAGAATGGCTCATGAGCAATCTTCACTTCGTATCGGTTCTTTTGTTAGCTGTATACAGGTACGTACTGCTCACTAGACCCTATATCCGGGAACATAACAAGGACGTAGGTCGAGCAAGCCACACCTGTGTACAGCTAATGAGGGGGACCAACGTGAAGTGCAGACCGCTGAAAAACCCAGTCAACAGGAAATCGAACTCTAGTCTTTTAGTCGATATCTGTAAACATTTTATTTTTAACCTGTTGCACTGAACATTAGAATGCATGACCACTGTATATTTTATGACGAGTAACATGATTTTTAAACGCAGATAATATCAAAAATGAATATCAAGAAATGTGCATATGAGAATATACGTTTTGTGAAAACATTCTGACTGACGTTTCTTATATGTTAACAGGCTATAGGACTCTAATCAGGCCTACCAAGGACGCCAAACAAGACGAGCAACTTGTCATCACACCGTAACGCAGACAGTCTATACTTAGTGCCTCGGGCAAAAATCCTCAACAAGGCCTCCTATTCAACCGGGGTTTCAAGGCATTACGTTCACATTAAGCAGATCAGCCGAACTGAAATCTGATTTGAACAGTAAGTGCGGTGCGCTTTTAGCGTTGCTTCAGCCAAACCTAATTAGTAGATGGGCGCCGCACTTGGCATTGTCAATGTAAAACACCGTGGGAATGGACGTCTAGACAACCGTTTAAGTTGTACAGATGTTTTTTTTTTCGCTCGTGTTCTGTGTTTTGTTCGCCACTTGTTCGTTTTAAGGGCACCTGTGTGTACAAGTCTGTGTGTGCATAAATGCTCCTAATCTCCAAGCAGATCCTACGGTGGCAAGACAGTATCCATTGTCCAGAAAAGTTTGCTAATGGACACTCCTCTGTCCAATGGATACTGCCTTGCCACTGTAGGATCTACTTAGAGATTACTGCTACTGTCAGAGATTAGATATTCCAATATCGATATGTCACTGAGCAGCAGAGCAGCAGTTTTACTAGCCTCCTTCGCAGTCTTGTTGGGCGTGGGCGTAATTTTTTCTGTGAGCGACGCGAGTAATATGCCGCCGCGAGGGACGATTTGCTGCGGAGGGACTTTTGCCACGGAGAGAAGGTTTCCGCGCTCCAAGCCTTCTCTCCTTGGCAAAAGTCCCTCGGCAGCAAATCGTCCCTCGCGGCGGCATATTACTCGCGTCGCTCACAGAAAAAATTACGCCGACGCCCAACAAGACTGCGAAGGAGGCTACAGTTTTACTACCATGACATTGGCAACAACATATGAGGAGACAACCGTTTAGTTGTACAGGTGTGCATGTATTTTTTCGCTGTGTTTTGTTCGCCATTTGTTCGTTTTTAAGGGCACCTGTGTGTACATGTTTTTTTATTCCAACATGTAATCACAAGACGTGGTGACTGCACACTCAAGTTTCAACTTATATTAATGCCGCCACCAACACAGGGGACAATACACTGTGGTCATTGCCACCTGAGCGATGTAAGGAAACTTGTGTAAAATGCCTTTCCCAAGGGCACAAGATCGGTGGCATGTCAGGACTCGATCCCGGGACCTCTTGGCCCCACATGGTGTACATGTTTGCATGCTATATTCCGTGTTTTTTTCGGCATGTTCTGTGTTTTAAGGGCACCTGTGCGTACGGGTACATGTTTGCATGCTATATGCCAATATCGGCAGTTTTACGATCATCGTTAGCAGCGATGTCTGATGCATGAGTCACGTCTAGATCTGCTCCCTGTGGATTTCTGCTATTTTGATATCCTAGGCGTCTCTATGACAACCTTCATTTCGTATTCAGTCCCTTCATCAAGTCACAGTCTCCTGAAACACATACATTATTAACGTGTCAGGGCTCGAAATTAAAGGTGGTCAAATGGCCACTGATGACCAGTACAATTTAGGCTGGGACAACTAAAAAGACACTTTGGGACATTTTTTGGGACAATAGAAAAATAATCAACATCAGAATGTCAGCCCTTCTTTCGTTTATCAGGCACACGTCCTGGCTTTTGGATCCGGAAAAGTCCTCCAAAATTTCCTGTCTACTCTGCAATTATAGTGCTCCTGGGAGTGAACATAAGCAAAATGAAGTTGACTTTATTTATCCCGAAAAATAGGTTGGGACAGTTTATCCTCACTTTCATTTCATTTTTGGGACAGTGCTGGGACAGTAGGAAGAAAGGTCTGCGTGTTTTTTTTTAATATCACAAAAAATTGTACAGGGTAAAAGTATGACATCTATTGATATATAACTATAATTTCAGAAGGCTATTTTCTCTATACATAATTCAAAACTGCGTGACTGGTCTGGGATTGGAATGAGCTTTTACAATCATCGGATTGATTTGTATCGACATTCTAACATTGTTTTTTTTTTATTCCAAAATTTGCGACGACACACTCAATCATATCAACTTATTTCATGCCGCCACCAACACAGAGCAACACCTGTACAAATACAGGGCATACATTCAGGACAATACTCACTTGAGTTAAGTGAGGAAAGTGTAAAGTGCCTTTCCCAAGGGCACAAGATCGGCATGTCAGGACTAGAACCCGGGACCTCTTGGTTCCGAGTCGAGCACTCTGCCGCTACGCCACATGCACACGACCCCATATAACATTCTTGAGTTAATATATATCCTATAACGTTTCAGGCCGGAACAACATGATCCTTTCACACCTGTACCTCCTTCTGCTGACCGGGCTGATGCAGTTCGCACCCTGGACGCAAGGGGCGCCCCTGCCTGCGTGTAGCGGTCCCGAACCACTGTGCAACTGCCGAGGAACAGAAATCTACTGCTTCCAGCGAAGCCTGACGGAACCGCCGAGTGACATCCCCGCTGACACTACTATTCTAAGACTTGAGCGTAACCGGCTAACGTACGTTCCCCGTCAGGTGTTTAGCAACTTAAGCCGACTAAGAGAGCTGGACCTTTCCGACAATGTCATCCACAAGCTTGATGTCGGCACTTTCGACGGTCTAGAGAGTCTTGTGACCCTCAAGCTAGAAAAAAATCGTATAACGTCTAGTACTCTACTGGATGGAACCTTTCGTAATTTGAGGTCCTTAGCAAGATTAGGTCTTTGGGGGAATATCATTTCGACTTTGAGTGTTAATCTCTTTGACGGATTAACTAATCTGGAAGAGATTGACCTTAAGAATAACATCATAGAGGCCCTTCCAGTTGGTATTTTCTCTCAAACAACATCATTACGTACAGTAACTCTAGCTAATAATGGCCTCGAGTCACTGGACAACATTCTCCCCGCGATTCCAGATAACATTACAGAAGTAGACCTCAGTGGGAACAGTATAGCGAGCCTCAATCGGGACGGTTTTGCGAGGTTCACAAATCTCGCCACTTTATTCTTAGGTAGTAACGGATTTGGCGATCTGGAATCTGGGGTCTTCAACGGACTAGATAATCTTCGAAATCTGTATCTAGACGAAAACAGAATCTCTTCTCTCGCCTCTGGTCTCTTCCAGGGCCTGCCCAATTTAGGACAGATTTGGCTCGACAACAACGATCTTGCTGAATTGCGCAGGAACAGTTTCGGTGACCATCCTCTGCTCGCCTCTTTGTATCTTTCAAATAACACCATTTCAACGATCGAACCGGGAATTTTCAGCTCATTTCCTGCACTGCGTAAGATTGATCTAACATCCAACCGCATTTCGACCCTCCCAGATGGCGTGTTCGACAATCTAGCCGAGATTCGTGAGTTATACCTCTCTAACAATATGCTACAAAACCTCGACGAAGATATTTTCAAGGACTTTAGGAATGTTTTGGAAATTAAGATAGAAGAAAACAAACTGAAAAGCTTGCCTTCTGGCATTTTTCGAGGTTTGCAAACTCTAAAGAGGTTAGATTTGGGGGGTAACTCCCTCTCAGCTTTACCCGTGGATATTTTCGCTGGTCTCACGGAACTATCTCGGCTGGGTTTGTCAGATAACAACCTCGAAATTATCCAAGACGGCACTTTTGAGAACCTGCCAGCACTGAAATCTCTTGCCCTGTATGACATGGACATTCAGAACGTGTCCTGTGGGACCTTCCCGTCAAGCACTGAGGTAGAAGTCACGCTCGACTGTACGTGTCGACTCAAGCCGCTGTACGCGTGTCCTACCTTCAGGGCTCTGGGTTTCAGACTGATTTGCTGGAAGCCGCAGGAGCTTTACAAAAGGACACTAGATACTATCTCTAAAGATGTTCTGAAATGCATTACAAGCTCAGCCAATCGCAACCAAGGGTTTGGGGCTGGCTTCGCCATGCCTCTGATAATGTTGATAAACCTGTTGGTGAATAGCATCAGATTCTGAGAACGATTTGAAAGTTACCGATACTCTCCAAGCAGAGGTTGTGGGGGAATGATCGTTAGCTTTTTATATATGGCCGTAAATTTTTTTGTCGCTACCCCCACCGTCGGTAGCCGACGACCTTCTCTGGCTAATGGATACTGTCTTGCCACCGAAATTGATCTGCTTGGAGATTAAGTTACTGAATGCTTGGCGTGATCAAGTTAAAATCAGATGTAAGGGTTTGTGGATGGTAGATTCCAAACGTTTGATAGTGTATTATTGACAAACTGTTTCATTTCTAACTGTTGCTATAGTTGTCATACTTGAAGTATGTATATTGGCTTGAGTAAGATTTGAACTCTAAATTAGCCCCAAAACAAGAACAGAAGCAAGCTTGTGATTTTCCTTAAAAATGGGTACTGCTGATGTTTTCTAATAGATTTCTGTCTGCAGTGTTGTAAGGTATCATGAAAGAATGAAAAGGTTAAGAAAAATCTCTGTATGTAAAGCTATAGCTTATAATAGCTATCACTGATGGTTTCCTTGCTGCTAGGTGTAAAAACAAACAACTATTCAAGATACATTATTCAATATTGTACGTGGTGTAAATGTTCATGAGTATTACCTGTAAGGTGTATATAATTAGAGTAATAGATCTAGATATTTGTTGTTACATGTAACATGTATAATATATAATATATCGGTCGATTTGTAGATGTGTAGCAGGCTCGATGACTGGATTTTGTTTGAGTCTTTAGTTTATAATGCGTTTTTTTTTCATTCTGGCATATCACTTCTATTTGTTCATAAGTATTAATTATGAGGTGTATATAGTTGGAGTGATTGATCTAGATATTTGTTGTATAATCTGTAATATAGCAGCCGATTTGTGGCAGGCTCGATGACTGGACTCGGTTTTTTTGTCAAACCCAGCAAATTAAGCTAGTACCATGTATGTAAGTAAGTAATGCTAGTAAAATGTAGTATAATGTTAGACGTAGTCTTACATAACAATATTTTCTTAAACTTTCTATAACACGCTTGTTTTCCATTCTGGCATATCCCTTATATTTGTTCCGGAGTCCTGTTGCTGCCCCTGCGAGTACAGTACAAACAGACGTGATATACCAGAGGGAAGAGAACGCATAATAAAGTTCCACGAATAGCCCAGTCGTAGAGACTGCGCGTGCTATGAAGGTTAAGGCTAATTGGTACCTCTATATCTGTATAGTCCACACTCCTTAACACTACGCGATGTTTAGAAGCAAAATGTACTGGTGCAAGTGTGGAAAATTATTGTTCCAATACATGTTCACCAATCTATAAACCTGCATCTTTCCATTCAACTTTCTATTCAAGCAAGTTTTTAGGTAGTATTATATGAAATATTAATTTTACCGTATTTTATTAGAATTATTAGTCTCGTAAGTAGATTGGTTGGTAGATTAAGTTTTACTCAATCTTTCAGATATGAAGACTTAAAGGAACAGAACAGAAAATTGAATTGGATTGTTTAATAACACTCAGGGTTGTTTGAAGTCCCAGGTTTCTATGATTAAAGTGATAGACATTCACAGACTATTAGCTGCACCGTTTTGACACGCAAATCTATTTCTACGTAGCTGTAGTATGTGACATTCTGTTTAACATTAATTAATCATAATCTGCGGTAACTTGTGCCACAAAAAAACACTTCGCGACAGACCTCTCTCACAGGCTGCTGGCTGTGTGTACTTGGGGAAACTAGCTTAAAGGTATTTACATCATGTTTTGTTTATAATAACTCCTGTAATGTTTCTCCCAACTCTGAAAATACGATCATTGTTTATTTGGGATTATCCTTGCATAGCGAAAGATTTTTAACATGGCGTGGACTGCTTTAGCTGCTTAGTTCAATTCTATATTAGGGAGAAGTTAGTTTTGAAACGTTCTTCTTTTGCACAGAGGTAAGTTTGAAATGTTCTTCTTTTGCTCGAGTGAGTTTGAAACAGTCCATTTTGTATGGGGAGAGAGATGGAGTGAAATATGCCGTATTTGCTCGCGAGCGAATGTCGGCCTTTCTAGTCAGTTTTCTCCTGTTACATTTATTTTTCGAAATCAGGCGACACATAGCGCGCCCGTGGATGTCAAGTAAATCTGTATAACGTTTATATTACGTCTGTGGCCCCACAGAATTGTCACGACTGTTTTGTTTTAGTTTTAGTTTTTTTTGTACATCGGGCTATCAAATGATTTCTGTTGGTACTGCTCGGTTGTGTGATCGTCAGTACCAGAATCATAATTGTGCCGGTAGCCTGGTGTCGCTACAACTACATGTACACTCAAGGCTAACACACTGGGGTCGCGTGTACAAATACACTCACTCACTCACTCGCTCACTCACTCACTCACTCAGTCACTCACTCACTCACTCACTCACTCGCGCACTCACTCTCTCACTCACTCACTCACTCACTCACTCACTCACTCACTCACTCACTCACTCGCAAGCGTTACTTTTACAATTCCCTCATGGCTACCACACGGCATGTCGGCTTAAGCAAAGATTATGGCCGCGCCCAAGGAATGGAATAATTTTAGTCCGAAAACCAAGCATGGTATCGGGTGCGACATATATATTTCCATTTGCTTTGTTAGGACTCTAAATGATGTAAACTTTATATCATTTCTGACCCTTACCTTTTCCCTCATGACCTCAATAAAAAGCGGCCTACTTGCCTTTTTGTGCTTTTCATGAATAGAGAATTATACATGTCATGTAGTTCCATGAAAAACGGCTCGGGTTAATGAAATACGTTGGAACTCCTGTGGTGTGAATGACGGAATCAGGACTAAATTGGCCTAAATATTGTCTATGGCCTAAATTGGCCTAATTTTTATATGATAAGCAGTACGTGTCAATGACCTGTGTGAATCAAGCCTAGCCTGTGACATAAAATTCATGCATCTCGCAAAATGTCG